AAATCCAAGATGGACTTGATATATGTACTAGCCTAATGGGATAAAACCCGTAAGTTGTAAATGAGTTTACAAGATAATGTCAACATGGATGGAAACATCCCTACATACAAAGTAAATCTAGTATCAAAAGGTTATAAACAAAGACAATGAGTTGATTTTGATAAAAACTTTTAGTCTGTAGCCATGCTAAAGTCCATTCGGATTTTGCTTGTAATAATTGCATACCATAACTATGAGTTATGGCAAATGGATGTCAAAACTACATTCCTTAATAGGACCTTATAAGAGGAAGTGTACATGACACAACCTGAAAGTTTTGAATTCAAAGAAGCCAACAAGGTATGCAAGTTTGATCAATCCATATATAGATTATAACAAGCCTCTTGGAGCTGAAATCTTCGATTTGATGTGAAAGTCAAAATATTTTATAAAAAATGAAGACGAACTGTGTGTTTACAAGAAGATAGTGGGAGCGTTGTCGTATTTCTAATATTTTATGTATAAGACATATTATTAACAAGAAATGACGTCTCTATATTTCAAGTATTGAAATTATGATTGTCAAATAATTTGATAGATATGGAAGGAGCAAGTTGATCTATAGAGATAGATCTAAAAGATTGCTTAACTCATTCCAATCTATATAGATAAAATCTGGAGAAGATTTTATATGGAGAAAATGAATGAGAGTTCATGGATACACTGATGCTAACTTCTAATCAGATTAGAATGATAGCATATTTCAATTAGGATATTGGTTTATACTTAAGCGGTGTGTTGGAAAGGTTCCAAACCAAAAATAACCATTGATTCAATAATAGAAGCCTTATACATCATTGCTTTAGAAAGAAACAAAAGTTGTGGTCTGGATCAGGAAGTTCATTAATGAACTTGGAGTAGTACCTAATATTGTTGATCACATCCTTCTGCATTGTGATAACAACGAAGCCATCGTGCAAGCGTAGAAACTAAGGTCTTATCAATGAAACAAACATGTGTTAAGACGGTATTATCTCATTGAAAAGATAATACAATGAAATGAAGTAAAGAAATAACGAATTCTCACAAGTTATTAAATTGCAGATC